GGGGAGGCCCTCATTTTATTTTTTTTTTTTCCCTCTAGGAATTTGATTCTTTCTGCTTAATCTTGTTTCTTTATGAAGGTCATTTCACATCTTCATTTATTCTTTAAAGTTATAATTACTTTGCTCAGTTGAGGGCCATTTACAAATAGAAGGGTCTTCCCATAGGATTTTTCCACCTGGCTATGCAATAGACTTCTGACTGGAGATTTGTTAGTGGTGGGCAAATCTGAATTATGCGCACAGTGTGGCCAATTTGTGGCCTACACAGTATCTTAGAAATCTCTGCTTGCTCATTTAATACAGATTATAATCTACAGGATTTCAGTCTACTCATCTCTTTCTTTTCAGGCATCACCTAAAGACTTGTACTTCCTGCGATAGTTCCTGCCTCCAGAACAACTACAGAAAGAGTTGTAACACAACAGCAGAATGGTGCAGTGTTAGTTAAAAGACTGGCTTCCTTAGGTCTAAATCCTGGTGATGGAGCTTGAAAGGATAATGCTAAATGAAATAAGTCAGATAGAGAAAGATAAATACTGGATGTAGCTAGAAATATGTGGAATATAAAGTAACTAAATTAATAGTCAGATAAAGACAAGCTGAGAAACTAACCCTTGATAGCTGACTACAGAACTGAGACACCAAGGTGGAAAGAGAGAGAGAAAGGGAAAGAATAGGGAGGCACAATGATTTGTGGTGGTGGCGCATGGGGCTGGTAGTAGGTGCACTATGGTGGTAATACTTGATGGGGATACCCATCAAGTTATCCTCTGGGAGTTTTATGGTTTTGTGTACATAGGCTCTAACCTTGTTCTTCTTCAAGACTGCTTTGTTACGTTTTTGCTTTTTTATAAAAATTTTAGAATCAATTTGCCATTTTCTACAAAAGTGTCCTGCTGACCATTTGATCAATGTTGGATTGAATCTAAAAATCAATATGAGAAAAAAATTGACTTATTAATATTATAGAGTCTTTCAATTTAGGAATCTTTCTCTATTTAGTTAGGTCTTAAATTTTTCTCATCAATGTTTTATAGTTTGTACTTACATGACTTGCTAAATTGATTACATATTTTATATCATAAATGGATTTTTAAAATTTTATTTTCCAATTGCTTATTGCTAATAAATATAACACAATTGATTTTTGTACATTGATCTCACCAAGTTCAGTTATTGATTCTTATTAGATTTGTTAGTATTTTCTCTATAACCAACCCCTCATTTCAATCTTTATATCTATTCTTTTTTTTTTTTGCCTATTAAACTGAGGAGAGCCTCCAGTACAATCTTGAATAGAGATAAAAGCAGATATGATTACTATGTCCTTGATCTTAATGAACTACAATCCTAAGACAATGTTTGGTGTTTCACTATTAAATATAATGTTAGCAGTAGGTTTTCTGGTAGATGTCCTTTATAAGACTGAATAAATTCTCTTCTTGTCCTAGTTTGCCAAGAATTTTTAAATTCATGAATGGGTGTTGAATTATGCCAAATGAGCTTTCCAGCTAAGGATCATATGGTTTTTCTCTTTTATTCTATTAATATGGTGGATTACATTAATTAACTTTCTAATGTTAAATCAATCATGCATTCCTTTGATAAAGAACACTTAGTCAGAATGAATTCTAACCCTGTCATACATCACTGGATTATATATGCTAATATATTGTTAAGAATTTTTGCAATATTTATGAGGGATATTGGATTATAGTTTTCTCTTCTGATAAGGCTTTATATCTGATTTTGGTATCAGGGCATATCAAACCATTGCATAAGGTTATAAGGGTATGCAATGAATAGGATTTTTTTCCCTTTTCTAATTTCTGACAGTTTGTCTAAGCATGGCAGTTCATTTGTTGGTGTTTCATTGGTATAAACATTTCTTTAAAATTAAAAAAAATCTAATATAGGTCATTTTTTTTGTAAGCCATAAAGAAATGAATATATTTAGATAGCTTAGAACAGTGGTAAATAATAAACAGTTCAATTAATATTACCGATTACAAAGTTTTTCAGAGACAGCAGTTTTGTTCTTTCACATATAAAACTGGAATTCATAGTATATTCAAATAAATAAAATTTCAACCCAAATTTCTTAGTTACCTATCTTATACAAAGCATATTTGACACTACAGGCAATAAAAATGAATGTTATATCATTTTTACCCAAAAGTTGTTTAACATCCGATGGGAAAAAAAAGAGAAGGCAGACAACTATTTACAACACAAATTTACAACATGGCAGAAGAGTTTAATAAAGGGTCATGTTCTTAGTCTCTCTCTTCTCCAGATACTCTAGCCCACTTTTGGTTTCTGAAATACCAATTCTTTTGCTGTCCCAGGATCTTGTATTCACTATTCCTTTGATAGGTTATTCTCATAGGAGATCTGGTTCCTTTTGCTCATTTGGGTTTCAGTTTAGGTATTATCTCCTTAGAGAGGCATTCTCTGAGCACCCTTTAAAAATTTGGTTCCTTCTAGAAATTTTCTATCACAGCACCCTGTTTTTATTTTTAATACCTAGTATTTTAGCAACTTATAATTTTTATTCTAATTAACCTGTTTAATTGCTTGTCTTATTGACTAGAAGGCAACTTCAGGAGGGAAAGGTCTTTAAGAGCAATAGGGCCTTTTCTTTAACAGTATTAGAGTCATTCAGACTATTTCTTTCTGTGGCAGTGTGGTAAATTGCATGTTTTTTAAAAAGGGAATTGGCTATTCCATCTAAGTTGTGAAATAAATTGGATAGTATTTAAAAATCTATATTATTATTTAAATTTCTGTAGGATGTGCAGTGATGTGCTCTCATTGCTGATATTGGTAATTTGTTTTTCCTCTTTTCTCTTGATTAGTCTTGTCAGCATTTTGTTAATTTGATTAGTCTTTCAAAAGAACCAAATTTTGATTTCATTTATTTTCTCTATTGTTTGTTAATTTCTGTGCCTATCTTTATTATGCATTTCTTCCTAATTATTTTATTTAATTTCTTCATTTTTAGTCTCAAAATGACAACATAAGTTCTTGAAGATCTAGTTTATTTTTTCTAATATAAACATGGTTATACATTTCCCTTTTCTTGTGTTTACTGTTTTAGTGTGTTAATACATTTATAAATTGCACTTTCATTTTCACTTAATTAAAATGACTTTTTAATTTCTCTTCTTACATATTTTTGAGCTCAAAGATTACCTAGAAATGTTATTTGACTCTCAATTATTAGGGATTCTCTAGAAATTTTATTACTACTAAACTGTAATGTAATTATGCTGTGATCATAGAACATATGCTGTATCATTTTAATTCTATGCAATTTATTGGTACTTCTTTTATTACTCACAATAAGTCTACCTTGGAGAATGCTTCACGTGCATTTGATAAGATTCTGTAACTTACAGTTGTTGGGTGTAGTGTTCAATAAATGTGAGTCCTAATACTTTGTTGAATTTTTCTATCAAAACTACTATCGTAGGGCCTCCCCTGGTGGCGCAGCGGTTGAGCGCTGGGTTGCGAAGCTGCCCTCAGCCCCTGCAGTGCTGGTTCGATCCCCAGCTGCCAGCGAGGGTCCCGTATGGCGCGCAGACCTCTCCTGCCTCGCCCGCTGCTCCCCTCAGCAGTGTATTTCCTTGGTCTGCCTGTTCTGTTCCCTGCTCTGGCTCTGGTGAAGTCTCTCATCCTCCCACGCTTCTGACCATGCCCAGTGCTTGTATAAATAAATAAATAATCTTAAAAACCAAAAACCAAAACAAACAAAAAAACTACTATCGTAGACTTGCTAGATTTGTTTCACCATTTTTGGAGTTGTATTTGTAAATACATATGTGTTCTCCAGTAAGTGAACATTTTAGCATGATGAAATGTCCTTTTAACCTCTCTTGATATGATCTGAGGTCTGTCTGGCAGTATGAAATGTCACACCAGGGCCTCCCTTAGGTGCAGGGGTTAAAGTCTCAGTGCTTCAAGTTATTGCAGCCACTGCTCCATGAGTTTGATCCCTGGCCAGGAAGCTAACCCACATAGAGCAGAAGACCTCTTCTTGCCCACTGCTTCCTTCAGCAGTATATTTCAGTGATCTGCCTGTTCTGCTCCCAACTGTCTCTGGTAAATCCTCTCACCCCCCTCCCCATACCTTTGGCCTATACCCCAGTTCTTGAATGCATAAATAAAAATAAATCTTTTAAAAAATATTTATGTCACACTAGCTTTCTAATGCTTACTATTTACAAGTCTATCTTTTCCATTTTCTGTCTTTAACCTCTTTGTGTTTAATTAAAATGGCCTGTCTTTCAATACTGAATTTTTATAGATAGTATGACAATCTCTACTTTTAATTGGAATTTTTAGTCCATTTACATTTAATGCGATTACAGATGTGGTTGGGTTCAGGCTTATTATTTTTGTATTTCTTTTCCACTGATGGCTTCTCTTTTTTTGTTTCTTTGCTTGTTACTTCCTATCATTTCTTTGTAGAAATCTATTTTTTGAGGTATTTTAATTATGCTAATGACTTTTCAGTTATGTTCTCCCCCCAATATTTGTTTATGGTGATTTTTTTTTAGGTAATATATTGTGCATTCTTAACTTATCCCCAATTTAATTAGATTTAACATTATATTTAACATGTAAGAAACTGAAGTTGTGCAGTATTTGCCCTATCTTGTACTATTTTTGTCATATACTTTATAGCTATATATATCATAAATCTGACAAAAGTATTTCTTACATTAAACTTATATTAACCCATATAAGGAGATATTTATTTTAACTATATTTGTTTTATTTATAATAAATTATATTTATTATATAAATATTGTTACATAAATATATTTATATTGTAATATATTATATTTATAATAAATATTACATTTATTATAAAAAGGAGATATTTCTTTCTCATAGGCTGCACATCTGTCTGGTAAATAGACCTGCTTGGCAAATTTCCTTTATCATTTACTAGACTGCAGGCCTAGTCGAAATAAATTCTGTCAGATGAATAGATACTGTTCATCTATAGCCACTACAAACAAGCAACTGTGGGTGATGTAAATACAGAACGGCCTGGAATGATGGACTTCAAAGGCAAAGCCAAGTGGGATGCCTGGAATGGACTGAAAGGGGCTTCCAAGGACAATGTCATGAAAGCTTACATCGCCAAAGTAGAAGAACTGAAGGGAAAATATGGACTATAAGGGACTGGATTGGGCTGCCAGCCACACATTTCACCTAAACTTTTATAATGCCTTGCTTTTCTAATACTGTGGATAAAGTGAAATAATGAAAATAACCTGTTAACACAGTTCCTCAAGACTGGCCAGGATACAGCTCTAGCATATTAGGGACTGAAGTGGTCACTGACTTTTAAGTAGTTTTTATCTGTAAGTCAATTAAAAGTGCATTTGTTACTTTAAAAAAATTTAAAAAAAAGAAATAAATTCTGTCAGATTTTGTATATTTAACTATATCTTTATTTCAGCTTCAATTTTGAAGGATATATTTTCTAGATTTAGAATTCCAGTGTGGCAGTTCTTTATCTTTTTTGTCTTCTAATATCTTAATAATATTGTTACACTGTATTGTAGCCAATGTATTGATAATTTGTGATGGGAATTATTCAGTTAATTATATTATCACTACACTACATATTTTTTTTTAAACTTTTGGCAACTTTCAAGATTTTCTTTTTATCTTCAGTTTTTAGCAATTTGACTATGATGTTCCATAGTGGGGTTTTATTTGTATTATTCTGTTTCTTGGATTTGTAAATTTATGTTTTCATTCAGTTTGGAAAGTTTTCAGTTGTTATTTATTCAACTACTTTTATGATACATTTTATCTGTCTTCTCTTTCTGGGACTCCAATTGCATGTATAGCAGACTGCTTGATATTGTCCCATGGTTCTTGAGGCTCTGTCATTGTTTTTAAATCATTACTCTCACTGTTCTTATATGGATAATTCTTATTGATCTGAATTTATGTTTATTTATCCTTTTTATTTGGTCATTTACATTCTTCAGTTAAGTATGTCAAGTAAAATTTCCATGTCAAAAATTTTATTTTTTACTTCTAGAATTTTCATTAGATTCTCCTTAGCAGTTTCCAGTTCCCTACTGAGATTCCTTGTTTCAGCCATCCTGACCATGTTTTCCTTTAATAACACTTTGAAGTTTGTGTCTGTAAAATTTAACTCCAAATATATTAAAGACATGTATGTAAGACCTTTAACTATAAAATGCTATGAAGAAAACATAGGCAAACACTCCATGGCATTGGCTACAGAAATGTCTTTGGGGATTTAGCTCCAATGACAAGAGAAGCAAAAGCAAAAACAAACACATGGGATTACATCAAACAAAAAGTTTCAGTGCAGTGAAAAGAATGATCAGTAAAACAAAAAGATACCCTACTGAATGTGGGCTGATATCCAAGCATATAGAAAAAGGATGTAACTCAAAAAGAAAAACGTTAACCCCATCAAAAAATGGGCAGAAGAACTTAAATAGGCATGTCTTTAAAGAAGACATAAAGATGATGATGAATAGGCATGTGAAAAAATGTTCATCAACACTTATCATAAGGGAAATGCAAATCAAAACCACAATGAGATACCATCTTACACTGGTGAGAATGGCCCACATCAAAAAGGCCAGAAATGACAAGTGTCGGTGAGGATGTGGAGAAAAAGGAATCCTCATAAAATGTTGGTGGGAATGTAAATTGGCCCAGTCCCTATGAAAGACAGTATGGAGGTTTCTCAAAATATTAAAAATAGACCTACTGTATGACCCAACAATTCCACTCCTACATATCTACCCAAAGAATACAAAACACTAATTTGAATGGATGTATGTATTCCTATGTTTATGTAGACCAATTAAAAACAACTAAGTTATGGAAACATTCTAAGTGCCCAAGGACAGAGTTGATCAGAAAAATATGGTGTATATATACAGTGGAATACTAGCCAGTTACAACAAAAAGATGAACTCCTACCATTTGCAACAACATGGATGCAATTGGAGAGGATAATGCTAAGCAAAATAAGTCAGAAGGAGAAAGACAAAAATCCAAATGGCCGCATTTATATGTAGAATATAGAGAAACATTATAAAGGGTCAGTCAAAACCAAACCAATAACAAACTCTTGACATCTGACTGAAGAACTGGATTAACTGGAGGGAAGGCTGGTGGGGGCGGGAATTGGGGAAAGAAGTAGGGTGGGAGTCGAGGATGGAAGGGGGCCCAATAGAACATGATGGAGGATTATTGGTACAGTTGGTGTACTGGAGGTGGGGATGGTGTAAATATATATATTTGTAGAGATTTAAACTTATAACCCCAAAGCAGATACAATAACATGAACTACATTAACCTCGATAAACGTAATTTGATTAAAAAAAGTCTGTGTCTGAAAATTCCAATATAAAAGTCATCTCAAAGTCTATTATAGTGACTACTTTTCTTGACTATGGACCACAACTTCCTAAATTCTTCACACACCCTTTAATTTTTGATTAGAAAATGAATATTGTGAATTATATTTTATGTTGACTTTTTTTTAATCAGGCAATTAAATTGCTAATTGATATCCTCAAACATGTGAATGCTTAGGTTATGTTTGTACTTTGCCCTTAGTTTTAGGATGAATTCTTTATTCCTAAAGCATGAACATTTTGAAGTTTCCAAAGGAAATCCAAGGTGTGTACTAAGTCCCTCTAAGTGGGGTTCAAATTCCAAACTCTACAGGCAGTAGTTGTAGACAGCAGGCAGCTGCTGAAATCTCTGCTTAGTCTTGTCAGCTGTTTACCTATTGTTTTTCACTGGGATCACTGGCATCTCATCTCTGCCCTTGCCCATAGACATGCAGGTTAGGAGTCTCCAGGGATTAAGGTGATTAAGGTGAATTTATAGACAGATTTGGAGCTCTATTCTCATTGCCTCTCTCCTTTCTGGAATTTCCTTCCTTAAATCCCAGCCACTCTGGCAGTTCTGTACTCACTTCTGACACTTCAAGTCTCCATGACTAAGACAGAGAGCTGCTCTTTGTGGATTGGGGAGGAGCCTCAGGGGAAAGCTGTTTAAATGTAGATCTCACCCAACCCAATTTGCTTCTTTCAAGGATCAAATTCCCAATATGTTTTTTAACATATTTGTCAGAGTTTATAATGGTTCTCTTCAGGAGAATTAATTCAATAGAAGCTCTTCCATCATTAACATAACTGGTACCCTCTACATTCCAATTCATGGGATTTTTGTAGGCTAAGAATGCACTGTACTTTTCATCTTTCTGAATACTCACAGGAATTTTAAATAATATATTCTGAAGGAATCCTCAGCAGTTATCCAGAATGACCAGGCAGTGACTGTCTAAAACTTATGATTAATTCCCTGCTAAGAGGCCAACAAGCAAAGATGCTTCTTCGGGAAATGAATTCTGTGTGGAGACTCCCAACTTTATACTACAATTTAAACCCATACAGTGGACTTGAAATGACTCACAGAGTTATGGAATTACACAGACAGAGGAAATGTATAGGCATTATTGAAGCCAACTCTGACTCACTAAACCATGAATGTGAAAGAGGTATTTTCCCTTTGCCTTGTGTGTATATTATCTATAGTTTACTTTGCTCAACTTCAATCCCTCCAGCTACTAGGGAGTTCATCATTTTGGGTTTTGTTTTACTTAGATTTTCTCCCTTTGTTTCATCTTTATCTTTGGCATCTGTATACTCCTGGCTCTGCTGACCTGGCCTCTGAATCATTCTGATTGCTCTGTCCAGTAATGTTAAGGGTTGAATTTTCCACCCCCAAATTTACATGTTGAACTCCTAACCTCTAGTATCTCAGAATGTGACCTTTATGGAGAAGGGGTCCTTACAGAGGTAATCAAACTAAAATGAGGCTATCAGGGTGGGTACTAATCCAAAATAACTGGTATTGTCATAAAAAGGGAAAATTTGGATAGTCAAAGATTCATAAAGGGAAGATGATACAATTAGACACAGGGAAACGATGACAATGAACAAGATCTGGAACAGATCCTCCTTCACAGAGCAAACCAATCATGCTAACTTATCTAGCACTAGCCTCCAGAAGTGCATAATAAATTTCTGTTATTTAAGGCACCTAGTTACGGGAGCCCTAGCAAAGGAATGCACTTACCGTTAACATATAAGCTAATCCCAGTGAATCTGCTTGATTCTCATTCATGGCTTTTCTGTCTCCTAAGATTCACTGACCTATCAGTATGGTAAATGGGGGGACATATGGGGGGGAGCAAAATATCTAAAAACTGGGGTCCTAATTTTCTACTAAGTACACATAAAGATTCCTCACATGTAATAGAAGGATAATGTCCCTGCTCTTCCTATCTATCCACGTAAATACACTCAAATAAGGTACCACATAAAGACTGTAAAATGCTACACAAAACTAAGGTGACTTGAATTCTTGCTCTTTATTCATAATGTGCTGACTAATTATAACAGAACCACTATTAAAGGACCCTCTGAGAGGCTCTAATTTCTCCACTTTAAGAGAGATCCTTGCAACCTCAGACTTTATTTCTGCTATTTCAAGAGGCAGCATGTGAAGCAGATGACTAAGGAACTAACTGCTTAGCTCAGAGATAGGGACGTGGGTGACATTCTCAAGTCTATTCTCAAGTCTCCAGAGACTTTCAAAGTAATTCCTCAGACAACATATTTATTTTTATAAGGTCCCAGTTATGGAAACAAATTGTTTTAGAGAATGAAGTTTTTAGAAATGTGTTACAGAAGGAGCACTTTAATGTGCATCAAATTGCATTAACAAAATTGGTATCTACTGTAAGCTTTTCTAATTAAATGCAGGATGCCTGAAGTTTCCCAACATATTTTGTATTTTCCTTTGTCTGATTTTAAAATGATTTTGTTAATGAGAATTCAAAAAATTAATTTCTATGATAATTAGCATTTTTATAAAATTATTAAAAATATAACTTAGTCCTCAATGAATTACATTCTACGTGCATATATTCTTAGCTAGTCTCAAATGTTACTTAAAAGAACCAAATTTTTAATTGATTCTATCCTTTTCAGTTCTCTAGAATGCCTCCAGATGGCATTAAAACTCTTTTCCTATCATATTTTGGAGTATAAAAATTAAAAAATTAAAAAGTATTCTACCATTTTAAACTATTCACATTCATTATGTATCATTAGAAATCATGACGGTGGAGCTATTTACAAATTCTAGGGTTATATGCTAAGAAAGACAAACATGTAATCATATTCTTTATGAAATACTGTAGCTATCACATGCAAGCCAAAGAATCTTTCCAGACTGAGAAATAGATCCTAGACAAAATAAGACAATAATATTATATCACAGTCATTTCTAATTAATAACACTTTAAATTCATGGCAATAAGATTACTGTCCACAAATAGTCAAATTCACAAAGCTGTCTTCTAAGATGAAAACATATCTAACCTTTCAGAAGTGATAAAAATTTTTAAAGAAGTAAACCTGTTACTGGTTCCCATGGAGCTGATATAATTTGTTAGGTTGTGAATTGTTTTATTTAGACTTTGGCATATAAATCTTACATCAAACTAATCATTAAAACATATTTGGTGGCGCAAGGGGTTAAGTACAGCACTATGAAGCTATAGGCAGCCACTGCAGCACTAGTTCGATCCCCTGCCAGACAGGGAGCTACCCACATGGAGAGGCAGACCACTCTTGTCTCGCCCGCTGCTCCCCTCAGCAATGTCATTTTAGATCTGCCTGTTCTGCTCCCTACTGTCTCTGGTGAATCCTTTCATGGCACCCCCAGCCCTCCCCCACCCCCTGAACTCCTGGCCTACCCCCCAGCTTTTGATGCATAAATAAATAAATCTTTTAAAAAATATTTGGATTCCTTAAGTATTGAGAGGAAAAAGACAAAATGTGGAGCAAGGAATACATGTTCACAAGTGCCCTTTCTTATCTTTTTAAAACTGTGTTTATTAATTCAAAACATCTATAAAACTCTTGCGGTTCCAGAGATATTTTTCACATAATTCAGTAGTGAGCTTGCAGGTAGCAGGCTTTTACATTGGCATTGGTACTTTATAGGTGCATGGACAGACTATACCCAGCAAATGCAAAAAGTTGTGCAATTATTTGTGACAGTGCTGAAAGTCTTCAACAGAATTCTAAAGGGTTTATCTTCCTTCCCCTCTCCAATACACACCTTCAAATCTCATTACATTTCTACTTTATAAAGAGAAACGTTCGCATTTTCAAGATGACTCTTACTGTGCTAAAGCACAAGAAAGACCTCAAAATGCATCTGTACCCAAAAGCATTTAAAAAGTCATTACCATGAAAAAGAGTCACAGGCTTGCTTCCATTATTATTATCACTATTTCAGATTCTTGCATGGTTTCATATTATAGGCATATTAAAGAACAGTGATCTCAGATAGAAACAGCAAAGAGACTTACGATGTATTTGAGGTGCCATTGTCTGGACTCTCTGGCTCAGCATCACCTTTCTCTTAAAAAGGAAGCAGAAAAAAATACCAGAATGTGAGTGTTATTGCCTTTAAGACTTAAGAGAGATTAAATATATTTCCATGTTCCTATTAACAATCTTTCAAAATGTGCAGCAGGAGACTTTTAAAACATCTTTTTATTGTCTGAGAACTAGATTTACAAAAATAGTTTCTTCTATGCAATATAATTGCCCAGACACAAATCTGTGAGTAGGTACGAAGGAACTGTTTGCAAACAACCAGAGGCTCAAGTGAGACCCTGCCAAAAGATGAATATCTTACAGATGGAAACTGTTTCCTTCCACTTCATTTTACAGAAAATTTAAGGAAATAAATGCATTCACATTCTATATGCAATTCTATTTGAGCTTTGATCCCTTCTGCTAACACAGGCTTAATCAGGTCAGGCTGCATCAGAACTTTGTAGAACACTGAGATTGCCCTATAGGTTCCATGATCCCCAAGAATTATACCCCACCAAATTCTGGAGGCAGGTTTTGGGGACCCTGAGTCAATGCAGAATAAGATGTTAACCAGAAAACCATCCTGACCATCTGAGTGACTAAAGAAATGTTTCTTCAGTCCATGGTCATCAAAGATTTAATGGGGTTTAATCAAGGGAGCTCTGAGCCAATTCACCTTTTATAGTTTTAAAGAGTAAATTCTTCTCATAATATAATGTAATTCTTAGGTCCTCCACCACTCATGTTTTGAACCACAAATCCTCATTCTGCAAGGTGCTTCTTTTTATTTCCCAGGCACTACGGGATGGAAGAAGGGGCATAGTTGGGAGGGTGAGTTGGCTGTGATTGCGATGTGCAGTGCTACTAGTTGAAAAAAATCACTTGGAAGCTTGTGGGTTGCATGAGATGGGTCTGATAGGGGCAACTTGCTTTGCTTTGCTGCTTCAAGTCTGGCCTAAGATCTCAAAGAATCCCCAGGTCTACTATTTAGAGCCTCGGGTCTCTGTCACAGTATAAGCCCCTTTTGTCAGTTGTTGGCATTACCTTGTTATCACCTCATCTCAGAAATAACCCCCTAAATTCCATGATGAACACCTTCTATAAATCAAATTAATCTTGCAAGCTGAATCAAAAGTAAACATTAGAAATTTTTTTTTCTTATTGGAAAATAAATAGTTGTAAGACAAAGATGAAATTATATATAGTTCACAGATATAATGTGTGTCTACACAGTGCCAGAGCCACCATGCGGGAGCCACTTTGCTAAAAAGCCACAGATAAAATCCATTTAACTGTCTCAAAGACAAACACTGATTAGAGCTGCAATAAATATGAAACCACACTGAAGTAAAAGTAGAGTCAACAAATTAATAAACTTGCTTGAAAGCTCATACTTTTACATTACACTTTAACTTCCAGGCCTGGTCTGTGGTGCATTTATTTAGGTGATATGCAACACCATGTCACCTAGCTTTAGAGTGGAAAAATAACCTAATTTAGCACTTTCCAAAATCACTTTTCTACAGAATAGCCACAATTCCTGCCAGAATCCCAGTGTTATAACACCTGCATTATATCAGACAAAACTAATAGAGGTTTTAATTATTAATTGATTTTTTCCCTTTAATTTGGAGAAATTGGTTACCTTCTCCAGTCTATAGATGCTAGTAATCAAACAACACACAATCATAATCAAGAATGTAAAGCAGAAAGTTCAACAGTAGCAGGCAGTAGTAAACATTTCCAAACACTTCTGTCAAAAAACAGGAAATCAAGAATAGAAACGAAGCCATTGTTTGGATGCTGGAATAAATATGTTTTACCTTGACCAACAATGCTGCCAAATAACTCGCAGGTTGTGAGGACACAAGCCTTAGAGCACATGGGCTCTGGGGGCTGTGGGAGTCCTGGGCTGGATCAGCGGAGGGACAAAGCTGTGGCTGATTATCTCTGCTCTTAGCAGCACTTATGTTGTGGCAACAAGCAAAACAATAGGTTCTGGCAAATAGAAAGGATACAATAGGGCCAAACAGGGCATTTGTGAACAGTCTAGAGTGAGTGCTCTCTGCAACTGCAGGACTGATAATGAATTAATATTTCAGGGGAAAAGTAAGCTCAGGATGGAGACAGGAATTTAAGCTATTTTTGTCCTCCAGAAAGAACAAGACACAGAATTCTCTTAAATATTTTGAAACTTTAGGTGATGCAATTTCTGAAGTTAACTTGAAATGTTTAAAAGTGCATAAGTCATTATGAACCATAGTTTCTGCATGACAACCCTCAGGAAAATTATGGATATAATCTAGAAGATTCTCAGTAAGAGATTTTTTAGTTTGGGTGCTCAGGAGATCTTTCCCTGGAGCCACCGAAGAGGACTGTTAGGTGTCATCCTAGTGATTTCACCTATTTTCACAATGGAAACCTCACTGGTCTCTTTGGGAGGGAACCTACAATGATCATTAAGAAGCTGGTGTGGCGTGATTACTTGTCATCTATTATTATCTACAATTACAGTGAGGAGGAGGGGAAAAAAAAACAAGCCAAAAAAAGGACACACATCTACGTAAATGCCTGTGTATGTAGATACGTGTATCAAATGTATTTTTAAGTTGACCCTCCATACTTGCCTACCTGTGCCTTTCATAGCACTTAACATACTAGGTGTTTAGTATATGTCCTCTGCCGACCAGCCATTAATACAGAACCCCAGGCTTCAGTGGGAGGAGAGACGTAAGGTACACTCACCACTGAGATGGGTATATATTTTGAAGTATTAAACAGCTTGATGGCTCCAACTGGAAACTTAAAATACTTTGACAGCCTCATTTTTAATCCAATGAAAGTACTGAGGAATTAAATGTTGGCTACTCTGTATGATGAATATAAAGAAAAATAATTCCTTACTTATGCCTTTATGCAGTTAAAGAGCTGCACTGCTGGAGTGTGATACTCTATCAACAGTGCTAAGATATGAACTGTAGCAGAGTTTTCAAAGGGGAATCAAAGTAGGCCTGAAGTTGGATTCTGCTACAGAAGAAAGCTTAGCTTTATGAAGAAACAAAAAACAAGTTCACAGTAAAAAAAAATGTGAACAACAGAGAAAGGTAACGAGCTTGCTATACTTTTGTTTTTAATTCTCTTGCCCCTTCAACCATTACTCTAATACACTTATTTCTAGATGTACCCATCTAGACTTACCTAGATTTCTGATAAGAAAGATGAGAGATAAGACATTTAATGTAGTACTGATGGAGGAAAAGAATAGAAAAGTTGAAAAGGAGACATCACAAGAGGAGAGTCTGACTCATACAAGGAGGTGGGGTAGAAGGGATTAACATAGCCATTAATCCAGCTATAGGAACTAAAATCCTTTGGCACCAATGTGTACATTACAAGGCACCCAGGCTGGTGTCAGACTGCTGTAGAGTGTCACAAGCACAGACCCTGCTGTAGAGAGTGGCTGGAATTCTCATGGAGGTAAGGATATGGAGACTGAAGGCCATTATAGAATCTCTGGTCCCTTTCAAATTCTACACAGATATTCAAAATCAACAAAGACAAAACACTCCACAGAGATGAACCCCACCCTACCAGAAGATGATAAAAACTAAGGCAGCCCACCACAAAAGGGCAACTCTTTCTGCCTGCTTGTGTCTATGCAAGTTTCCTTTATTCTTTTTTCCCTTTTCTTAATAAATCTATTCTTTTGGATAACTAAGTCTCTTATCTGGTGGAGAAACTCACCTGAGAAACTCACCAGTGCTGCTGAAAGGGGAGCTCTGGTGAAACTTTTCGCAGAGTGAACCCAAGGACCCCAATCTCTGAACCCAAAAACTCCAAACAATGACTTCAGTACCATCTCTCTTGTCCTTACAATTTTTTATGATAGCTGTAGTTATTTTATTTAAAAACAAACTTATGGAGGTAACATTGGTTTACAACATTGTGTGTGATTCAGAGGGATAGGATCACCCCTCATCAGATGCATGTCCCCACATCACACCCACCACCAAGGCACCATAGTTATCATCATAGTATACTGTATACCTCTTGTAGTCACAGTTACACACATTGCATAGTATACTGTATACCTCTTGTAGTCTCAGTTACACACATTTATAGAGTTTGTTCTTGGTTTGGTTTTGTCTGATCCTTGTTTTGTTTTATGAGTTCTATTATTACTTTTAGCGGCTCCAGTGGGCATTTATAACAAAAATAAATTTAATCTTCTATTTATTGATTAATCAACTTCTGGCAGTATCTTTTCTTTTATACTATGTAACATAAAGAAACTCATTTACTTATTCTTTCCCTCTGTCTAGCATACATAAACTCTGCAGAGCTATACCTTTCCTTTTACATAGCCAAGAAAAAAACATATTTAGGTTCAGTTGAATAATTATAAATGAGTCATCCTCATTAATATTAATTTAATAATTTAATTTTTGGAATTGTCTATAAGTCAATTATAAACCAATACCAGGATTTATAATGCTATAACACTATAAATGCCAGTCACTAAAGAACAAAGTAGTGGAACTGAACATGTGCAGAGGAAAATGTCACTGAACCTTAATAAAGGCAAGTGTTCCTGGCATCTATGTCAGATGGATTTTCATGCTCCTATTTCATCATGCCTTAGGGGAATGCAAGCCACAGGTTTCTCTGTTGCAAGCAGTAGCTATGATTTCCCAGAAAAAAAAAAGCTAAATGCATGGAAAAGTATATATGTAAATGACAGTGTATATCAAAAGTTTTAATCATTAAAATGAGTTAACTGTGAAAACATGGGCCTTCCTGGTGGCACAAGGGTTAAGACGCAACCTATAAAGCAATCCGCAGCCACTGCAGCACAAATTTGATTCCCGACCAGCCAAGAAGCAACCCACATGGCGCAGCAGACCTCTCCTGACTCGCCCACTGCTCCCCTCAGCAGTGTATTTCAGTCAATCTGCCTGTTCTGTTTCCCACTCTGTCTCTGGTGAATCTTCTCATCCCCTACATCTCTGGCCTGTACCCCAGCTCTTACATGCATAAATAAATACATCTAAAAAAACCCCCAAAACTGTGAAAACAACTTCAGGCCAGAAAATGAGATATTAACAGTTAACAAGAATCCAGAAGCCTGATAGGTATGCATCCTCTTCCTGCCCTCCAAGCCAGCTACTTAAGAATAGGATTTGGGTTAATCATCTCTTCTTTTCTTGATAGTTTTTACTACCAGATATTTATTAATAAATAAAATATTCATTAGTTTTACCTGATTTTAAATTTTATGTAAGTGGAATCAGATGAGTCTTACTTCTGTTACTCAATATCATTTAAATTGACCTATCACAATGCTATAGCTTTGGTCTGTTTATCTTCACTGCTGTGTGGCGCCCGCCCATTAAAACCGATCATGATTTTCTTGTTCATGCTATTCCTGATGGACACTTAAGTGTTCTTTTCCTTATGGATGATGAAATTACAAACATTAATGACATACTTCCTTGTGTACAAGCTAGCAGTTTTGGGCTGTATGGTTTACTATGTCTAACTCTACCAAGGAATCTTTAATTGGTTTCCAAATTAACTGATGGTCATACTTAAGTTTTTTTCCTAATTTAATAATGCAAAATGAAATTCAGTGTGGGCTAGTGTCTTTCAATCCTAGAAAAATTTCAGCCATTAACTCCTTTAATATTTTTCTCTGTCCCCTTATCTGTTTCTAGAATTCCAAATATTCTAAATATACATTAGACCCTCTTACTTCATACCCCATGTTTCGTTTTCTTTTTCATTACAAAAGGACAGGTTATTAGGAAAAAGGGAAAGGAAAAAAGGCACCTACATAGACACAGGTGGGCAAAGAGCTCCTGCTGCTGCTTTTGAAAGGATTGTTAAAAGAGACCTGCATAGACACAGGCTGGAATGTGTTTCTGAACTTCCATTTTACACTTTCCATTTCTGTCTAACCTAGGCTACTTCCTGGATAATTTCTTAACTTAAATTTCCTAATTCTTCAGCTATGTCTGATCTTGTGTTAAGCTTGACCAAGGAAATTTTATTATTTTTTCTGTTTCTAGAGATTCTGATTTGTTCTTCAAATCGTATATTTTTTCACATTTTCCAAAGTGCTAATGGTGAGATTCTATCTTAGACTCACTTACCCTATTTAAAATATGGTTTTTATCAGAGGAAATTGTTCCATATGTAATTGTAGATTACAGTGTGTCTGTGGTAAGAGGTGGGTTCAGCATCTATATGACCACCTTGCTGAAGAACAAGAATTCTATTTCTATTATTTATTATTCTTCACTTCCTTTGCTTTCTTTTTCTGGTATTCCAATTAGCTGGCTTTTGACCTTTCCACCCTGAGTGATCTTCCATGTATCTTAACCTTTGTAGTTTCCATCTGTCTTTTGTTTCATAGTTAGAAAAGTTTCCAATCTTATATTCCAGATTCCAGACTTTCTATTAAATTTTAAATTTTGTTGACTTTTAAAAAAAATCCCAAGCCTTCGTATATTTGTATTTCACACCAATCAGTTCTCTTTTTATTTGATACAAATAATTTAAAATAATTTTGAGGACTATAACTATACTTAAGTATATATTTCCTCTGGATAAGTCCTTCTTTTTGATGCTTGTGGCTATATAGTCACATTTTTTGAATGATATCAGGCTGGTTAACAATGGCAATTGGTGTGTATTTCCTGTATTAATATCTTTTTTTAAAGATTTATTATTTATGCATACAGATAATGGGGTATAGGCCAGAGGTGTGTGTGGGGGAGGTGAGAGGATTCACCAGAAACAGAGTGGGGAGCAGAACAGGTAGATCTACTGAAATACGCTGCTGAGGGGAGCAGCGGGCAAGACTGGAGAGGTTTGCCTCACCATTGGGTCAGTCCCTAGCTGGGGATAGAACTCAGGCCACAGTGGTTCGCAGTGGCTGGCAATAGCTTGACAGCACTGAGACTTTAACCCATGCACCACAGGGAGGCCCCCTGCATTAATATCTTCATATATTTCCCTAACATATGTCTCCCTTGTAGGGAAGGGCTAATTTCGAGCTGTTTATAAATGGACATGGGTATATTGACTAGAAGTCTTCATTTAGGGTTCAGAAGAGGCAAACTGAGAGCCTTGGCCCTCCTCTCACTCTCCAACAAAAAAGAGAAGTATTTTACTCTAGGTGTGCAGCATTTTTATTTATTGCCTTCATGAGAAAAGTTGACTCTTCTTCCACCACCCATATATGTCTATTTTGAACATCTATTATTGTCTCTGAATCTCTTCTGCTTCTGTGGGAAATGATGGTGGGATCAGCTCTCCTGAAGTTTCAAATGTATTACAATCTGTACAGAATCCTCAGATTTTAAAATAGGAAGATTTCCTTTTTATAGATATGTTTGGAGTTTTGGGGAAGATTCTGAAAAACACACACGTGAAAGCCAGTAACAAATTTCCTTAGACAATGAAATACCACATACGGGTATCTCTCATATTCTATAGATGGTGGGTCTGCTTTTACTGCTAAATTATAGTGTAAGCATGTAAATATTATGGAATGCTGTAAAATTATTTCAGATGCCTATCAAAATGATAGCCTATAGTTTTGGGACAAGAATTCAATGTCATGGTGAATTGTCATTGAATTGTCATTCAATGTCATTGGGTTCAAGGTGGTGGGATAGAAAATCTATTGTCTTTGGGGTAGAGATCCTTGAATTCAAATCCCAGATGTCATTTTTTTTAAGTCATGTGACTTTGGGCTAGTTATTAACCTCAGAATCTCAAGTTCATCATTTACCAAATGGGGGTGATACAGTCTACCTCATACAGATGTTGTTAGAATTAAGTGAGGGCCTCCCCTGGTGGCACAGGCCGTTGAACACAGTGCTGTGAAGCTGTCCTTAGCCTCTGCAGTGCGGGTTCGATCCCGGCTAGTGGGCAAGAATCCCTCATGGCATGGCAGACCTCTCCTGTCTGGCCGGCTGCTCCCTCAGCAGTGTATTTCAGTCAGTCTGTCTGTTCTGTTCCACGCTCTGTTTCTGGTGAATCCTCTCATCCTCCCGTGCATCTGGCCTGTACCCTGATTCTTATATAAATAAATCTTTAAAAAAATAGAATTAAGTGAAATAACATACATCAAGGTGCTGACACATAGAGACTCAACAATTATTCTTTGTTCTTCTCTGTGTTAAAGACTTCCAGCTGAGGGAAGGTATACTTATTCATCTACTATGGCTTCGCTTTATCCTAAGCAGTTTAAATCCAAAAAAATAAGAAACAGTGAGGAAAGTTATAGCAACTCTTCAGTATGCTTGTCTTCAGTATGAGTAATGCACACCTAATGGACTTAAACATGCATTTCTTTTGATACTTTTTCATATTTTCTTAACTATTAAATTTATTATTTTCTTTAGATTTCAAGTTCCTTGGCATTTCATCTCCTCATTGGTGCCTTCACACTCAGCAAATTCCCAAAGAGGGACAACTACTATTTCCTATGCATCATTATGCAATTACCCACTGTCCTGACCTTTCTCTGGCTGTGCATTACAAGTCTGGGATTTCCTAACACATCTGTCTGGATGTCTTTTCTGCCCAACAATTCTGCCTTCACATGGTTCTGCAGGTGAATCTAAGTTCCAAACACAGTGATTTTATATTCAAACATAGCTTTATAACTGGCCTGAGGTGTACTCAGTTGACTGAGCCATGAGAAAAATGAAGCCCAATTTTTTTTTTATGGTGAACTTACATGACATGAATAGAGTCCTGTATACATTTTTAATTCTCAAGAAAACATTAATATCAATCGTAGTGCAAAACACAAGAATTAAAACACCACTTCATGAAACGAAGATATGCTTGGCTTTTGGGGGAACATTCTGAAAAGTACAGATAACACAGCCCATTTATTTTATTAGACACCAGATTCAATAAGGAAACTCCTTTCTAATTAGTCTATCTCTCTCTGGATAAGGTCATGGTTTCTTCATGGATTCTAAAGCCACTTATCTTGAGGCCCTCTGATTGGTTTTCTTTGTCTATTCATTTTCTTTCAATTTAGGTATCTTAGTCACCATTAACATTTTCCATCCCCCATTACAATTAATAGGGGCCAAATCTGATAAAGCATGATGTTCTTTCCTCCTGGGATCACTTGAAATTCACCATTTTATATTTTTGTTCTCCTTTCCTTCAATAATGATAGACAAGGTCACCAAGAATCTTATCCATTTCAGCAGTACTTGACTAACTAACTAGCCACCTTGGATCCCACTTGATTTTGTTTTCAAGTGAAATTCTTTGAAATCTACTGTCTATTGCATACATCTCTCTCTTTTCCTGGTTCTCCCTCCCCAACCCTTCCCTTGCAACCATAAGGAGCTGTAGAGGTAATTGTTTCTTACTTGGATTATTGTGTCCTGAGGAAACAAGCTGAGAGTCCTAAAAGAACAAAAAATAATGAATTAATTTACTCATTTTGACTTTCAAAATTTAAGTTGACCATGATATATATTACTGGTCATTATAACCTAATCACAGATCATAATCTATACCAGGTACTATAATCTATAATGAGAAACACTTACATGAATGGGTATGTCAAGCAGTTCTGATAATAGAATTCATAATCACTTCTCTTTTCTATTATTGACTTTTTTCTTTATTGAGCTAAAATTACATAACATATGGTTACAAATTTTTAAGTGAGTGGCATAGTAGCATTTAGTACATTCACAATGTTGCACAACTACCACTTCTACCTATTAGCAAAATACTTCCATCATTTCAAGATGAAGCTCCTTACTGTATCTCCCCATTCCTTCCTTTCCTCAGTCCCTGGCATAGGTAGAATTTATCTATTCTGGATATCTTATTTAAATAGAATATCATACAATGTGTAGTCTTTTGTATTTAGCTTATTTCACTTAGAGTAATGTCTTGAGTTCAACCATGTTGCAACATGTATTACTACTTCATTCTTTTGTATGGTGGAATACTATTCAATTTTATGTATATTATAATTTGACCAAGGTGGTATCTGTGATAGTGGGGAGAAAGCATTTGGATACAGGATGTATTTTCAAAGTAATGGAGAGATGATTTAATGACAGGTTGGATATATGAGAGAATGAAAAGAATTAAAAATGGGTACTAGGTTAAATACTGTCCCCTCAAAATCCACATCCATTCATGATCTGTGAATTTGACCTCATATGGATATAAGGGCTTTGTAGGAAAAATCAAGTAAAATGAGGTCATACTAGATTAGGGTGGACCTTAAATTTAATGACTTCTGTCCTTTTAAGAGAAGGAAGATATGGTCAGGGAGACAAAGGGACCATGAGCATGTGAAAGTGGAGGCAGAAACTGGAGTAATGTAGTTGTATGTCAAGGAATGTGATGGAAGAAGTTAGGAAGAAGCAGGGAAAGATTCTTTCCTAGAGCCTTGAGAGGTAACAGACCTGCTGAAACCCTGATTTCAGACTTGTAGACCCCAGAATAGTGACAAAGTAAGTTTCTTTTAAGGTATCTATTCTTGTGTACTTTGTTACAGATGTCCTAGAAATGGAAAACATATGGTTCTAACATTTGGGCCTGAGTCAACTGCAAAAATGGAGGAGCCATGGAGAAGTAATAGCATGGAAGGTTGGTGAGGGATTAAAAGTTCAGTTTTTATAAACATAGGGGTGCAGGTGCTCTTTGGAATTGATGTTTCTGTGTTCTTTGGGTAAATACCTAGGAGTGGAATTGCTGGATCATATGGGAGCTCTATCTTTAGTAGGTTGAGGAATCTCCACACAGCTTTCCATACAGGTTTGACCAGTTTGCACTCCCACCAGCAGTGCAGGAGAGTTCCTTTTTCTCCACAACCTCGCCAACATTTGTTGTTGCTAGTTTTTTTAATATGTGCCATTCTCACTGGTGTGAGATGGTATCTCATTGTAGTTTTGATTTGCATTTCCCTGATTGCAAGTGATGTTGAACATTTTTTCATATGCCTGTTGGCCATTTGCATTTCCTCTTCGGAGAAGTTTCTTTTTAGCTCTTCTGCCCATGCACTATTTACAATAGCTAAGTTTTGGAAACAACCCAAATGCCCAAAAATAGATGGCTGGATCAAGAAGATGTGGTACATATACACCATGGAATATTACTCAGCAATCAAAAAAGATAAACACATGCCATTTGCAGCAACATGGATGGCGCTGGAAGGGATCATGCTCAGCGAAATAAGCCAGAAAGAAAAAGAAAAATACCGGATGGTCTCACTCATAGCAGGAATCTAGAAAACCTAAATAAGGGACCAGGAAAAAGAATAACTATAAGAAAGAAAAAATCAAAGTCAACAAACAACTATGAACCAGAGACACACTATGGGGGTGAGGGGTGGGGAAGGAGGGATTGGGGTCAAAATAAGGGGGTTGCAATTGTATGGGGAATATAAAAATAAAATTAAAAAAAATAAAGGAAGTCAGATTTATCCTGCAAAAAAAAAAAGTTCAATTTTTTATACTGAATGCTTGAGATGTTTTTTATACTGAATGTTTTTTTATACTGAATGTTCAAGTGAACACACTGAATAGGTAAATAGAAATATAAGTATGAAGTTTAGGGGAGGGAAATGGTGCTAGAGATAAAAATTAGATGAGATCACCTGAGGAGTGAGGAGAGAAGTGGTAGGATTAAAGATGAAACATGTATGTTTGAAAACACTAAAGGGGAAAAAAGGAACAAATAAATATTAATTAACCCAACATAAGGATGGAAAGAGACAAAAGGAATAGGAAACAAAAATAGCTAGTAAAAATCGTAATATTACATGTCAGGAAAAAGCCCAAACATATCTGCATTTCTAATCAAAGTTAAACAGTTTCCCTCAAAGATAGAGACTCTGAGATTGGGCAAAATGTAAAAGTCTAATGTGTCATGTTAAATCTTTTGGCAACTCAGAATCATTTTACCCTTCTATGCACTCCCCTATACTGGAATAGCTGGGATGTTTGGGATTTTATATGGGTTCTAGTTTAGTTTTCACTGAGATGCCTTTAATATGGCTATTAGAAACAAGAATATAAAGCTGTATGTAGGAAATAAGAATGATGCATCTATTTGAAAATAAGAAATACTGAAAATAAATTACTTCTCTAGACTAAAAACTGAAAAACAGCCACAAAATATAAAGAAAAGCAAAGGAAGAAATAATACAGAGAAAAGCTAAAAATTAATGAAAACAAAAGTCAAGAGAACAGATTTGATAATACTATCAATTTTTAGCAACAAATGTAGCACATGTAATAAAAAGATATAATTTAATATTAAATATGAGAAAATAAGGGATTTGAAAATAAGATTTCACTGTACAAAATTTAACAATATTAAATAATGTAGCTAAGTGGAAGATTTTCAAAGATAAAAGTAATGAACAAAATTGGATTATGAATAGCCAGAAACTTTGAAAAAGCCAATAAGTGAAGAAGAAATGAAAGTATAGCAAATGATCTACTCTTAAAAGAAAATCCACCATTTTATGGATGCATTATACCATGCTGTTAAGAAATGGAATACAGCATACTATAGAAACTGTCTCAGGTTACAGAAAAAGTTTGAAAGCTAATGAATTCATTATAAGAGGCTACTAAAGCCCCCTTTGAAACTGAACAAGCATACACAAAAAAGATAACTAGTCCTAAGTTAAATATTAGCATATTAAGTCCAAAAGTATGGTATAATGAGCAATATACCATAATTAAGAAAATCTGGATGATAGTACCAGGAATTTTCATATTTGCCCCTCCTGTTTACATACTTTCATCTTCATAATAAGTGTGTGGTTATGTATTCTAGGTTCAAATACAAAATAAAACCTTAATAATTTAAGCATATTTTATTGCTGATTTTTTGTGTGCTTGTTTTTAGAAAAACACAGTAGCCTTTTTTTAAGATCTACAATATAATTTAAGCTTTATAAAGGACATTGAAGAGGAATTAAATACTACATGTCTTCAATTCTAAGATGCTGATTTTAAAATACATCATTAATTTAATAACAGCTTTTCATAAATATATCACATTATAAGTGCATAAAATGACTGTAAGGTGCATTTCAACTTCACAAATGTTAGATAAAAAAGACAATTCTAACATGCATCACATTTTACAGAAAGTATGGAAATGTAGGTAAGATTGCAGGCTTGAATGTCTCCTACTCATGAATAAATACATGTTTGCAAATTGTTGAAAATCAGATCCATATGCCTCTGGCTGGAATATTTACAGAAGTAAAGATAACCAAGCATAAGCCCACTGGCCACTAAAAATCTCTGAAAGAATAAAGCATATTCCTCCTGAGTTATACAAGGTCTCACCTTATTTGGAAATGAAAATTTGCTTGTTTCCACTTTGCTAGGTGCTTGAATAGCAGAAAGTGGTGGGAGCCAGGTCATCTCCTAAAGGGAAGAAAAAACAAACAATACTGTAACACAGACAGTATTTAAAGGTAGTAGCACAGAAAGCAGTTACACACAGAAGCCTGCCTTAATAAGTCATGGAAGGGGTAAGGAACGAATAACAGGTGAATAAAGGATAAAAGGAAATTTTTTAAAAAGGACCATGAAGCCTACTTTTCTTTTCATAATTTCACCAAATCTTGGTTTCATGATTATGCCCAAGCCACCTTTTTACCTTAAAAAGATTCAGAAGGCTGTCCTATTTTCACTTCATTTAAGCTCCCAAGTAAAGGGACATCAGCCTTGCAAAGGTTGTATGGAAAAATGCCATACAAAAGTGGTTGTTTCTCTTGGATTTGATCCCACAAAATTCACAGGGTGTTTCTGAAGGAATGCATGAATACCTTTAACTTTAGGGACCATTATTAGAGAATTTATTTATTTTATTAGAAACTCATTTTAGTATGAGTTTTCAATAAGCCTCACATATCACTTTGGTCTCATAAATATGTCATTTATGGAGAAGTGAAAAAACAAATCGCATATGAAATAAAGAGAGAGAAGGGTGTCATTAGTATAACATAGTATAAAGAACACAACCATAGCCCAACATGCAATAATGAAATGCACCTTGACATACACTCACTAAACTGTAAAGGCGGGGGGTATTTTATTCACTTCCAAATATTCTCCAGTTCTTCCTCGTGGAAGATATTTGCTTTCACTAAGTGATTGTGGAATTAAATAAAATCAATTTCTGATTACCAGGAAGTCAATGTGAAGTTTACAAATAGGTTCTGAATCCTAGTTCTTGATTTCCTTCTACCTCCAAACCTAAGCAGACTTAAAGGCAGTAACTAATCCGTTTTAAGAAATGTGAGATTTGCTCTTTTACTGAAGACATTTTCTTACCTCCCTTAGGGCAGGGATGGTATTGAAAAGGGATTCTTGTGAGATTTTGAAATGAAAGTTTCCCTTTTTTGAAGTAACATTATAAGATTCTATAAGTTTTAGGTATTCATTGTTGAGAATCAACATTGTATATACTGAATTAAGTTTTTGCTAAAGGTCCAAATCTATCCTTAATTATACCAATGGGTCCACTCGAAAGAGTTTCCTGAGGATGGTCTTGTCTTCTTTCCTTTGGGTAACTCTCCTTCCCCAGTGCCTTGGTGGTGCAGACCCACACAGGACTAGGGGAAGAATGAGTGTTTACAACAGGCCCTGGGAGGATCTACTGACTGTATAATCTCTCACTCACCGAGACAAATGTACCAAGATAGACTAAGCACACGGCATTTGAGGTGTCTCTACTCTCCTGGTCCTGAAGTTTTTCCAGTGTGAAGCGAAGGAAGATCCAGTGCTCTTCTTCCCATTTTTGCTCCCCAATATCTTCCCATTCTATCCTATATTCATTTCTGGTGTCACTTGAGCAGATTGTTAAGCAGCACTGCTGAGTTCATGTCCAGTGTGGTATCTGTCTTTTCCTGTGGGTCCATGCTCACAGTTCCCAGGAACTGCTCAGATATTACTTAGATTGCTGCAACCCCATTAACGGAGCTATGAAGACAGATACTTTTCTTCAATTTCCTAACAATATTCTTTTCTACAGCATGGTTATCCCACATATCCATCTTCACTGGTCTAAAATCTTATACCATAATAACAATGACAACCACAAATGGCTTCTCTGTTATCCCCAACCTTTTACATAATTATTATTATCTCCATATTACAGAAGAGGAAGACAAAGCTCAAAAAGATTAATTGGTTTGCCCAAGTTCACTCAATTCTTAAATCCCATGGCTGAAATTTGTATATAGATGACTTTATTTTTAGTTCAGTAATTGTCTTATATTTATTGTATTGCCCTCAAAGAGCTTAACCTAGTTTTAAGACCTTTCACAGCAAGGCCCCAGTTTTTAACCTGCTTTTTCTTAATCTATATATACTATGTACAAGAAAAACTACAGCGTTGGCTCTCAACCATATCTGTTGTGTATGAATGCTCAGCCTCACATACTTACTGTACTTCTACCCATTCATTAAGACTCATCTCAAACATCATCTATCTTTTGGGACCTTTGCTGATTCCGCTTCTGTTCTAGTGTAATGATAGTTCCCTTTGCATGCCCTTTCAAGTCACTTATTTTTTCTTGCTCTTTCATGGTAACTCTCACTGTTTTTGTATTATAGTTTTATACATATACACCTCAATCTGCACTCAACCATTTCTCCCTCTTCCTATAAGCCTTACCCCATGTAGAACAAAAATCATACTTAAGGAATCCTAGTAATCTCTTTCAAGAATATTCATATCTGTTAAACATGACCTTTTAAAGGACTGAAAAATTCCTCAGAGAGAGGGTCTACTCATCTTTGTATAGGCTGGAACACCTCATATACTAAATACTCAATTTCTTTTTTTATTTTTAAAGATTTATTTATTTATATATCCAGAGCTGGGGAACAGGCCAGAGATGTGGGGGGTGAGAGGATTCACCAGAGAGGGGAACAGAAAAGGCAGACTGACTGACGTACACTGCTGAGGGGAGCAGTGGGGGAGACAGGAGAGGTCTGCTTCACCATGTGGGTTGCTCCCTGGTGGGCCAGGGATTGAACTTGTGCTGCAGAGGCTGTGGATTGCTTCATAATGTGGTGCTTAATCCCTTGCGCCACCAGGGAGGCCCCCTAAAAACTCAATTTCTTGACTTAAACTGAAAGCTTATATTTCAATGAAAACTGCTCACTAACATTAATTCTAGATATTTCCAAATCATGTTTCCATCTGAGTACTTTTAAATATATGAAGGAATAGTAAAGATACCAGTGTTGTTTAAAGCATTGAAATCTATTAGAATTTCCAAAAACTTAAATAATTAGTTATACAACCGATTTAAATATATTTGTTCTAATTAATGGGTAATGACTTTTTAAGGTTAATTATCCATTATATTGAAATTTTCCATTGGGGTGGCTTGGGAAAATTGAGAGCAAATAGACTAATTCTATATCCTCTTTTGTCACTAGCTCAGGAACCATATCCTTAGTAATTTGTAGTGATTTCAAACTGTAGACTTTGGAATCAATCATATCTAAGTCTACGGTATCTTTGGACCACAGGAAATGTAGATATTAACTATCTTATGATATAGTCATGGTGATTAAATGAGATAATACACACAAAAAGCAGAGCATGGTTCCCTTATGTTTAATCATCCAATGAAAGAAAGCACTATTATCAGATGATCCAGCAATTTCACTCCTAGGTATTTATCCAAATGACATAGAAACATTAATTCCAAAGGGCACCTGCACCCCTATGTTTATAGCAGCACTATTTACAATAGCTAAACTGTGGAAACATCCCAAATGCCCAAAAATAGATGACTGGATCAAGAAGATGTGGTACATATACACAATGGAATATTACTCAGCAATCAAAAAAGATAAACATGTGCAGTTTGCAGCAACATGGATGGAGCTAGAAGGGATCATGCTCAGCGAAATAAGTCAGAAAGAAAAAGAAAAATACTGGATGGTCTCACTCATAGCAGGAATTTAGAAAGCCTAAATAAGGGACCAGGAAAAAGACTAATTAATACAAAGTAAAAATCAAAATCAACAAGCAACTATAAACCAGAGACACTATGGGGGGGGGGAAGGGACGGGGAGAGGAAGGATTAGGGTCAAAATAAGAGGCGGTGCAATTGTATGGGGAATATAACCAAAATGAAAATGCATACATTGTGCAAAAATGAAAAATGATGTAAGAATTATATAAAATATTCAAAAAATTGATTAAAAAAGAAATGGTAATAAACATTCACAGAAAAAAAAGCACTATTTAATTTCAAATCATTTCACATTTCTTTTTTTAAAATTTTTTTTAAGGTAACAATGATTTACAACAAGTGTATATGATTCAGAAATACAGATCCCACCTCTTAGGTTTATTTTACCACACCACACCCATCACTAAGGCACCCATAGTCCTCCACCATAGTCCATTGTATCCCTTTGGCCCTTTCTTCTATAGTCAGATTTTTAGGGTTTGTTTTTGGGTTGGTGTTGTCTGAGTCTGTTTTGTTTCTCTACTTCTATACATGAGTGAAACCACCTGGCATTTGTCCTTCTCCTTCTGGCTCATTTCACTTATAATCCCCTCCAGTTCCATCCATGTTGTCATAAATGACAAGAGTTCATCTTTTTTTAAATAGCTAAGTAGCTAAGTAGTATTCCATTGTGTATATATATACAACATATTTTTCTTCCACTCATCACTTTTTCTTCCACCCAACAACTCAGGTTGTTTCCATAACAGCCACTGTAATTAGTATTGCAATGAACATGGAGTACATATATCCCTTCAAATTAGTGTTCTGCATTTTTCAGGCAGATACCTGGGAGTGGAATTGCTGGATAATGAGCAATATAATTTCTCGCTGTTTTAGATTTTGGATGCCTCTGAGATAGGCTCTGGGCACCATGATACCAAACTGGAATAAGTAGACTGGAAAATGAATAATGAATATAAATGATAGCTTAATATAAACATCTGAGGGTCTTTTTTTTTTTGACATTTGGTGATGATTTTCTGACCAGAAATATGCTATAGGAACTTAACTCTTGTTTATATCAATAGTCTATAGTAAAATTCATTTTGTTATAAGTTGCTTGGTTTAAAGTGGCAGTTTTCAAGAACCTATTGACATCAAATGAGGACTTACTGTATTTGTCTTAACACAGCTTCATCAGTGCCACTGTCCTAAGCAAATGTCTAGTTACCCAAAGTTATTTTTCAAGGTGACTTCTTATTTCTTAGATAGGCTTAAAATGCCAAATCTTTTTAGAGCAAAGACACTCTATTTTCTCCTAAATGAAAGAGCAGATGGTTAAATAAGGATATAGAATAATGCATTACATTAACTGCCTATTATTTTTTCCTATATCCATCATACATCAATTTTCAGAAGGCCATAGAGCCATGGCCAAGTAGC